TGGAGGAGGAGAGAAAGAGGCAGCACAACCTCAGTCTAATCATGAGGAAACAGTAAATACAAAATGAACATTCTACTGAAAAAGAGTATAGAGAAGAAATCTGCATTCTTCAAGTACATTAAGATCATAAAAGACAAGACTGGGCATTTTCCAAATAAAGGAAGTTGACAAGATATGACAACTAAGTGCATTACCTGGCCCAAGACAGGCTCCTGTAAGGGAGGAGGAATGCTATAAGGACCAGTCTCTAAAACTGTAATGTGAATGGTCAAGTATTGTTCAGACGTGTTTCTCAAGTTAACAAGAAATACACTCCTGCCGGGCATGGTGGTGCATGCCTTTAATCCCAGCACTCAAGAGGCAGAGGCAGGCGGATCTCTGTGAGTTCAAGGCCAGCCTGGTCTACATAGTGAGTTCCAGGACAGCTGGGGCTACAGGGAGACCCTGTCTCAAAAAAGCCAGAAAAAAGAAATACACTCCTACCTGGGCGTGGTGGCTCATGCCTTTAGTCCCAGCACTCGGGAGGCAGAGGCAGGCAGATCTCTATGAGTTCGAGGCCAGCCTGGTCTACATAGTTCTAGACCACCTGGTGCTACAGGGAGACCCTGTCTCAAAAAGACCCTCCCCTGCCCAAAAGAGAAAAGAAATATACTCCTCGGTATTTAGGGGTGAAGAGTCAGGATCCTTGTAGCTGAACTAAGAATGGTTCAAAGAAAAAATTTGTTAAAATCATGTATATTTGGAGAGAGAATTAATCCATTCACAAGAGCAAGTGAATGACATGGATATGATTTTACCTTTATGCAACTTTTTATCAATTTGAAAGCATTTCTGATTGAAAAAAATTTTAAGTCCACTTCAAAGAAACAGGAACAGAAAAGGAACTTGAAAACTCTCCTAAATCATTTTTAAAACATTCATTTATCGATTTTGTTTTCAAGTTACTATTTAGAATGTGTCCTTCTTTATGAGTCTGAATTATTTTTTTAAGATTTTTATTTTAAATTATGTAGGTTTGTGCATGCACTGATTCCCCCCAGAGCTGAAGTTACAGGTGATTGTGAGCTACATGACATGGATGCTAAGACTCAAATGCCAATCCTCTGTAACCCCTGAGCCGTTTCTCCAGCTCCTACATTCTTATTTGAAAGATGAATTAGAGCTTTTACAGCTTTATCTAAATAAGTTAATATGTTGAAACTAACATTGCATCAGTTGTAGTTGGTGGGGGGAGCACTGAAATGTCAAGACTACACATATTTACCACATTCATTTGCTAGTGGTTGCATTCCAGTTTGCAAAAGTAAAACCCCAGATTTTAAGGTATGACTTAGGCTCTACTCTGTGACAAGAGTATGCAGAGGCATAAACAAGGTGAGTGGAAATGGGTATAAGCTAGGTGGTTAAGTCTTTACAGAAGACAGCTGAAAATGTACATCCTGAGTACCTAAATACTAAAATATAGAATTCTTCTCATACGGTATATTAATTGGGAGGGGGTAATAAAATTCAAATTGGGTATTTTTCCTAATTTTTTACTGTTGACTGTGATGGTGTGATGTAAAATCATTTCCATTTCCCCTTTGAAATTTAACTCGGGAATTTGCACCCCCTTGTGGTCAGACATAAAACTCTTGGTTTTGGAAAGATCATTTTTTCCACTTGAACTTGCTATTCAAGCACAGGAACTGTTTGTTACTTGATTTTGTTTTCTTCCATTTTACTAACTCAAGGATTTGTGGTTTGTTTAGTAAGATTTTAAATCTTTTTTTAAATATTTTATTTTTATTTTATGTGTATGAGTGTATTGCCTGCATGTATGTGAGTGCACCTGTGTCGTGCAATGCCAAGAGGGCTTCGGATTCCTCTGAACTGGAGTTAAGGACTGGGTGCTGGGAATCGAACCCGGGCCCTCTGCAAGAGTAGTCAGTGCTCTTAACTGCTGAGGTATCTCTCCAGACCCAAGACTTTAAATCTTAGAGAGAGAGAGAGAGAGAGAGAGAGAGAGAGAGAGAGAGAGAGAGAGAGAGAGAGAGACAGTGTGTGATACAGACCCTTTGAACCAGAGAGAGAGAGACAGAGAGAGAGACAGAGAGAGAAACCTCCACATAAATTTTAGAGCAAAATGGCGATAACCAAACACACCTCATGAGTTATACTGAGAATTCAGTGGCAAACATGTGTACACACTTAGCACATACCGGCACTCAGCAGATGTCAGCACTCAGCAGATGTCAATATCAGCATCATCACTGTAGAATTTTCTTGATTGGCTATATCTAAAAGGAGACTACATCAAAAAGTCTACCAGCCACATACCGGGTGTGGTGGTGCGTGCCTTTAGGAGGCAGAGGAATTTGAAAAGTCTCCTAACTAGTGTTTAAACCATTCATTTGTATATTCTGTTTTCAAGTTACAGTTTAGAATGTTTCCTTCTTTAAGAGCCTGTGTTATTTATCTAAGATCCACATTGTGAGTTCCAGGCCTGCTAGGACTACAGGGAGACCTTATCTCTAAAAATACAAAAAAAAAAAAAAAAAAAACAGTCTACAAAGGCTAGGAGTTGGTTGAGTGGTAGAGTCTTTTGCCTAGCATGCACAGGTCCCGAGACCAATCCCCAGCAGTGCTAAATAAATAGAACAAAAATATTATATAACATTTATCCTTGCCCTAGTGGATTCTGTTCAGAAGTACATTATATTTGAATAGTACAAAGACTATGTGGATATCTCTGGATGTTAGAAATGTGGACAGTTTTTATTTTATATATTTTAGGCTGACCTGGATTTTTAAATTTATTTTAAAGTTTTAATTTAAAACATTTTTTTTTTTTTTGAGACAGTCTTCCAGTAATCCCAGCTGGCCTGGAACTCACTATGTATGTAGACCACGCTGACCTTGATCTTACAGAGATCCACCTACCCCTGCCTCTCAAGTGCTGGGATTAAAGGCATGGGGTATCATGCCTAGACTCTTTTAATTTTTAAATTTCATTTATTTGTTTTTTAGAAAGAATCTAACTATTGTAGCACAGACTGGGCTGGAACTCAATGAAATCCTCTTGCTTCCATCTCATGAGTGTTGGGACTACAGGCATGAGCCACATTTGCAGTAAACCAAGTACTGTAGAAAGACCTGTGAGATATGCACTCTCAGCATCATTATATAATTACCAAATGAGGTACCAATACTATTTTATAAAATATCAGGTACAGAAGTAACTTACCTAAGACCACAAAAGTAGTACATTGCAGAGCTGGGATTCAAACTCAAGCAGATGCCTTTAATCCCAGCACTCGAGAGGCAGAGGCAAGCAGATCTCTGTGAGTTCCAGGTCATCCAGGACTACATGAGATACTGTCTCAGAAAAAATCAAACTCAAGCAATTTAGTTCCGGAGTCCCATTTACACAGTGCAGCAAAGAACTACAGAGATACAAGACAAGCATATTCCTCTCCTGTTACTTCTTGACCTGACTGCTAAAATCCATTTCTTCTCCAGTTGCACCTCAATAATGCAAACCAAGGTAGTCTTCCACCAATTTACTTACACCCTAGTACTTAAATTTTTCATATTCACTGTTCTAGCGTTTACAACATTGGTATACAGCTTTTATATTCAAAAGTTACAGTTTTGCAGGGTGTGGTGGCACAACTTGTAACCCCAGCACTCCAGAGACGAAAGCAGGAGGATTGCCAGCCTGGGCTACATAGTTGAGTTCTGGGCCAGCCTGAATTACATAAAGAGGGACAAGCATCCCAAAAAAGTTACGGTTCATCACAAGTTGTTTTGTAATAAAAACCAGTGCAAACATAGCAATATCCCAGTTTTTTTAACTGTTGGATTCTTTAGAAAAAATCATGAGGGAATTCAGGAAATTGTAGCTCTTGTGCTCCCACTTACCAGTTGTAATATTGCACAATTTGTAATCGGAGCATCAAGTGTCATCATCTGTAAAATAATACCTACTTTACGGATCTCTTGTGAGCAGTAAAAATGACTAATCCATAAAGCGTTTATTCGGTACACTGCACAATACATAGTACAAAGTGGCTATTACAACTTTTTTAGTGTTTTGTACAATGAAAACCTGTTTTTCTGCTTCGGTAATTCACCCCAAAAATAAAAATAATTTTAAAAACACCTTAGTGACATCCAAAAAGACGGTCCATATTTGTCTCCAAAACTGAGCAGAAAGTTAAAGGAGCCGTGAGCTGATAAGACAAAGTAGATTCTACGAACACATCTTCCCAATAGGCCGCCTAGGCCGAGGAGGCTTTGCAAATTTCAGTAATCAATAACTGTGGTCGGATAGGAGGCCAAAAGGGGACCCACACCCTGCCTCTGCCTGCACCTCAGCGCCGGTCTCCAAAGGCCGTGCTCTGGAATGTGACAGCTGGGTGCTGCATGTATGCGGTACCTGTGCTGCTTTCCGCGAATTACTTAGCGTCTCCCAGCATTGGTTTCCTGGTCTTCAAACTGAGAATGACAGTTCCTACCTCGTACCGTGGTCCCGGGGCTAAGTGTGATAGACCCTGAAGGCGCTGGCGTGCGGCCAGAGCGCTACGTCCGGCGGGCGATTTTAAGTTCTAGTGTATCCACGCACGGCGCGAAGCGCACTCTGGTTTGGAGTTTATTACTTTTTTTCTTTTCCGAAAAGCTTAAAGTGGACACTGATGTATTTCCCTCCAAAGGGGGAGCACATGTCGGTCACTGGGTAGGTACCTGCGGACCCTGGGTCCCGGGCTAGGTCACCGCCTCTCCAGCTGTACAAAGACGCTGCACGCACGCGCAAGAAAACAGGCGGACCAGGACCAAGGAAGTGCAGAACTGCGACCCCGACCTACTGCGCCTGTGCGCGGTGGTGGTTGGGGGGGCGGGGGAGATAAGGGTTTCCGCATGCGCAGCAGTGTCGGGAACGCGAAGGGGGGTAAGGGGTGGTATTGACAGCTGCAGAGACAGCCCGCGTTCCCGGCATGCCCCGGGGCGGCGGGGTTGGCTCTAACGAATTTGAATGAGAAGTCTCAGCGCTTTCGGCGCCATTTTCGAGTGATGCCTGATCTCATCAATCTAGCGGGAGGGACTCCAGAACCTGTCTGAGGGTGCAGCGCCGCTAAGACTCCGCCGAAAAATCACCCAAAAATCTTCAAAAAATAACTTAGAGCCAAAGGCAGTCGGCGGATCCTTGCCAGGCCGGGCACACCGGGTAAGAGTCTGAAGTAGCCCAGTGGGTCTCGGGAGGTGGCCATGGTGCGGCCGGCGGACCGTGACGGGTGCGGGGATCGGGGTCCCGGCTGCCCTCACCTTAGTGCACACTGCTGGGGGGTAACCGAGCATCTGCGAGTAGGCGGCGGCCGGCGGGATGTGGCGGGAGCGGCCGGCAGGGCGGGGGGAGGGGACGCGGCGGGCGACTGCGCCCGCGGTCTGTCAGCGACCCCCGCCGGGCGCGAGGCCGGGCGCCTCAGGCTCCTGACAGCGCCGCGCTAGTCGTTTGCCGGGCTGCCTCGGCTGTCTGCTCTGGACTGGAAACTCCGGGGAGAATTCCGGAGCGCTGCCGAGGTTGGAGGTGCTGGCCCGCTCCCCCCCCCCCCCCCCGACTGCTGGGGGGACGCTGGGCCCGGGCCCGGGGAGGGGCTGGGGCGCGGGGTAGGTGCTGGGCTTCGCTGCCCCAGGGACTTTATCACTGCCCCCGCCTGTGCCCTTCGGTGCGGGAGGGGTGTTGATGAGCTGGACTAGGGCTGCGAGCGAGCTCGTTTCCTTCTTCGGGTCGTACTTCGCTTAGAAGACTTTTTCCTTTCCCAGTGGTTGAAACCTGGCTCAAGGAAAACCGGTCTGCGAGCTGCGCTGCCGTTTCCTGCGGACGAGGCTTTACCCCACGACTTAACGGTAATTTTGCAATCCTCACCTTTTCTCGGGAACTCTCTTGGGGAGGAGGCGGAAGAAGGGGGGGTGCTATTTGTCTTTCCTTTTAGGAGGCCGGTTGGTTGGTTGGTTTTTTTTTCCCTTGGCTGTTGGTTTTTTCAACCCAGAGCGGACAACTTTTGAATAAAGTGACTAGTGACAGCTTTAACTTTGGCTGATCCTCTATAGATAATAGCCTTTGTGAAAATTGCACGTTAAACGTCTGCAATCGTGAATCCCGTTCCTCCCTAAAGGCACCACCAGATTAACCCTTTGCTGCTGGGATGTTTTGTGTGGGGCGCCGATCTGGCTGCGGATATTCTGGAAGTGCCTTTGGCAGCCGCTTCTCAGCTGCACAGAGAGGAATAACGCTGCTTCCGAGGCTGACTTTTGAGGACAGGCTGTCTATGAGGTTTTCCTTCGGGAATTTTATCAGAACCGTGGATTTTGTATATTTTTATGAAGACCAGGGAACCCACCCTCATTTAGAATCTTTCCCGGAGAGTAAGTGTGAAATGTGATGTTTTTCAAATCGTGTGTAACGGAGCTCCCAAAACACCAGACTTCTTACCCCCTGATTGGCTGGAAGGAAGCGAGCATAGGGGGTTTGAATGTTCAACGTGAGATGTTGAAGTTTTCGGTAAGTGGAGAAGTATCTTTTAGTCAGAGAACCACGGAGATAGATACAAAATGTGTTTTAAAAAAAAAAGAAAGAAAGAAAAGAAATGAAAAGAAAAACAACGAATTTTTTTGAAGTTGGTATTTAATGGGGTTGTTTCTCCCATAAAGGATTTTCGGATGGTTCTGAAATGTATATTAAAAAATAGAACTCAAGAGGCAGTTTTCACAAAACTATTTCTGCTAGTGAAATTACAAGGCATTTTTGTCTCTGTTCTTCACTGGTTAAAAACTCAAAGAATCGAGTTTTTCTTTTTCTTTGATAAGGATTTTTCATCGTAATCTACGTATATTTATTGGATACAGATTAGGTGAGAACTCTCTGATTTTCATGAAAACAACCTTTAGTCTATTTTACATTTCCCATAAAAATTGGATTTTTTTTTAAACTTTTCAAGTCTAATTTAAAATATGTATGTTTTGCTAACTCAGCCATTGCAGTGAATTTAAAGTTTTAATTTACAAAACATTTGTTTCTTCTTAATTTGGATATGTAACAAGTAAGCATGCGCAGGTGTGTATGTAATATATTATTGCATTCCTTTGACAAGTTTATTCCTAAGAAATATGTAGTATACAGCAGCATGTGTGTTTTTGATTTGATTGATTTCAGTTGGTTTTTGTTTAGGTTGCTTGAGACAGTCGACAATATGTTTCTATTTATTACTCAGCTTGTCATTCCTTTTCATTGCATCTTGGTAAAAGGTGTGATTTCTAAAGAAAAGCAGAGTAGATACTCTCAGAAAGAATTTAAATTTTCAGTAGTTTATATTTTAAGCATAGTAGCTGAAATTTTGAAGCATAGTTTCTATTTTCACATTAAGGCAAATAGGCATTGTTAGAAATATTCAAATGAAAGCATTTAGTAAATCCCTGTAGGACTGTAAATATAATTTACATTAATAAATTGTATAGCTGAGCTTATAAGTCATTCCACTTTGTATTACCTTCACAATAATTGTGATTACAGAACCCATGCTCCTTTTTTTTCAAATCTGTTTAATTTGGATCATTTCATGAAAATTTCAGAAAAGATGCAAATTATCTGTAAATTTTGATTTAATAAAATTGTAGGTCTTGTTTCTGTTTTACATGTAATTATACCTAACAAACCAGTACTGATGAGTTGCTTTTTACTGTTTTGTTTTTGTATTTTAATTTTCATTCAAATTATGTATCTGGGAAAGAATTATGAAAGTGGAGGAAGGCTTAAATTTCAGCAGGCTGATAAAGTTTAATCATACTTTTTTAAATCACTTTAGTTTATGGGATGTTTTTGTGTTTTGAGGACGAGTGAAGGATCTTAATCGAATTTTTGAAAGAAATCTTGGGTTCCTTTTAAAATACTTCACATAAAGCTTTAGAATACACTGGCACCTGAATAACCTCCACAGCATTCAAATTTTTTCTCTTTTATGTAATAGAAGGGAGAATCCTAATGGGTGTATATTTTAAATGCTTGTGTGCCGCTATCTGTTTCTTTGAAGAAACTAATGATTCTAATTTGTTTTCTATTCTATTGTGAGGACTGCAAAAGTCATTATTTCACCTTTTTTAAAGGATAAATTTACATACTGTAGAGGAGAGGGAACTAGAGAAAGTATCACTTTTCCTGGTAGTATTAATTTTCATTTGTTTGCGCTTTATAGTATTTCCAAGTAAAAGTCTTAACTTTAGACTTTTTAATATTTTTGTTAACTTGTCTTTGTGCATTTACAAAATGTAGCCTCAAGTGTTTGTGTGAGTTAGATTAATACTAGTTTCAAAGTAGCTTTCACATGTTAAATACCTTTTTTCCTCCTGTTTGGTGTACTGTATTTTTAGTTTTTATTTTATGAAGACTTATATACATTTTTAGTTTTATTTATTTGTATGTAGTAACTATTAAGAATGTCAAAGAACTCATCAATCCAGAACTATTGGTCAGTTGATGTAATTACAAAAAGAAAACTTTGCAGACTATATTATTTATATCACATAACTTGTAAATTTACAGTTATGAAAATTTTATAAAAATTCATCTCAAATCCTAAAATATTACCAACCTAAAAGAAGCTCTTGTCTGTTTTACTTTTCTTTTGTTAAATGACACTTAGTCCCCACATTGATTTTTTTTTTTAACCCCTTTAAGAACAGATAATTAGTATGATTATAATTAGAACAGCACATTTTAGAAAGAGCTGTCAGAATATATATGTGGTTTCGTCCTTTTTATTTTTTAATTAGACAAACTTAGAAACACTATATGCTTGCAGTTAATTTTGGCATATAATTAGAACTTACACTGTGACTTGCTGTAATTTTGTGGGCCTAAATCTCATAAAGCCAAAAGAAACCAGTAATAAAATACTACTTTATTTCAGCCAAGTGTTGAAAATGAGATTAAGCATTTAATTTTCAGAAGTTACATTATTAGAACATTGAACTGGTGGTTGTCCTCTTATTAAAATATCATATTACTAATAATAGGTATTATTATATTATCTGATTGTTAGTATGTACAAATGACTATAAATAATGCTCTCTAGTAGGAAACTTTTTTGCCTCTATTTTGTCCATTTAAAAGGTGCAAATTTTAAGGATCTTTGAGATATTTCAAGTAAGGGAATTAGTATTTATATATATTTATTTGGATTTTATTCTTAATGCTTCTCGAAGTTGTGAGAAGTTTAGTATGCTTTTATTTAAACCTGTCTTATTTCAACAAAGAAAGGTTAGACTGGAAAGGCTTGTGTGTTTTCTAAACATAAAAAGCAAACTGTAATAGATCTGAGTTTTACTTCTGAAGATTTTTTTTTTTAATTCTACACATT